ATGAAGTATGAAGTATGAAGTATGAAGTATGAAGTATGAAGTATGAAGTATGAAGTACGAAGCATGAAGTATGAAGTATGAACTATGAAGTACGTATGCTCCAGCAATGCTTTTCATCTCTTTGTAGCCTCACTTTTGCTGAGCAGTGTTAAATGTTGCGGGGGTAAAATTTAATTGCTTGACCGGCAAGAAATTTTCCCAATAATTTTCAGTTGGATGAGCTTTAAAATATGCGCCTTTTGTTTGTCCAATAGCCGTTTAATTTTATATACATATACTCTATGTATATGTATATATGTGTGTGTGTATTGTGTATATATTTAGATATATATTAAATATTATATGGCCGTTGGTATTCCACGCACTTTTCACATTTTCACAAACTTTTCTTTGCTTTGATATTTTCTTCTTCAATTTTCTCTTTGCTATTTTTTGTGCCCTAAACATTTAATTTGCGCTGCTTTTTCAGCTTGGCAATGAAAATGTGGAAAATGTATTTTTAAAAAGTTCAGAGCAAGCAACGCGAGGACGGATTATCTTCTTGTCTTGTTGTTGTTGTTGTTGCTGCTGCTGTTGTCGTTCTCGTTCTCTTCTCTTTTTGTGGGCTGCGTATTTAAATTTAATATTTGTTTTCCACTTTTGTTTGCGGCAAATGATTTAAAAATAATTGAAGACGTCGTGCGAGCGAATTGCAATGATTTATTTATGGGCGCAGTTGATAGATTTGATTTCGCATTGAATGCGGCGACCCCTTGAATTAATTAGGCTGCGATGAGTAGGACCCTCGTAGGCGTGGGAGTGCGGCTGCCTCGCTCGCCTGCGACTTGACTTCTGTTCGGCTCCCTTTGCATCCCCTCCGCCTGCCACACGCCAGCCAGCCAGAAGCATTTTGCCCTAATTTTACTTTCTGCGATGTTATCAGGACACGCCGCACACTGAGAGACACACACACACACACACACGCGCACACACACATACAACTATGCTGACAACGACAGGGACAAAGCCCACACACAAAGCACTGAAGCAACGAAGAGATTTCCTTTCCATTTCCATTCCCATTTTCCTTTATATATGTGTATATTTCTTCTCTTTTTAAATTGTGCCCGCCCACTTTTTGCTGCCCACAAACAATGTCATAATTTACGCACTTTTTCATTTGTTTGTCGTTTGACTGTGCTGCATGGTTAACATTTTATTGGGTCCACGTTTGGGTGCTCGCTCGCGTCGCCGCGTCGCCGCGTCCTGCTCTGCGGTTCGCCTAATGAAACTCGAATGGAGCAAACCTCAACCGAAACTGTGGCAGAGCCCCAAGCAACTGCCGTCAACTGTTATCCGTCTGGGCCGCGAGCAGCGCACGTCCGTGCCGGGAAAATATCTACAACGAACTGATGACAGCGACAACTACGTCTACGACTGCGACTGCGACCACGGCGACGTCTTGCGCCGGACACAGAGCAACGAGCAACGAGCACGGAACACGGCGCACGAAGCACGGAATGCGTCGTCGTCGTCGCTTCGTGCGTTGCTGTCCGTGTCTATGGCGATGGCTAGGTCGCTGCCTTCTGCCTTTATTTATTTCAATCGGAGACTAAGAGAGTCACACATGGAAAGAGAGAGAGAGAGAGAGTGTGTGTGTAAGAGAGGAAGTGAAGTCTTGTATAGGGAGTGTTCTCTTTGCATACGCACAGTGGGATGAATTTGTGACATGTGAGCACATATAGCATATCTTGGGTAATGATATGATATGATATGATATGATATACAAGTGTGTGTGCATTGAAAGTGACTTTTATACAGTAAATTGATAGTAAAGATAATTCAACTTATCATTATTTGATTAAGTCAGCTGCTCAAGAAAAGTTGTTTATCCCTATTGCATTAGCTGATTTAAAATTCCTTGTGAATGATTTCTCAATATAGCGCCCCATTGCTGCCCGATAATCTGATTAGGCCTGAGAAAAAACACATCCTGTTGGCTTTAAAGTCTGACTGTAAAATGGCTCTCTTCGTCCCTTCTCTTTTACTTCACGCATGCGCACGCTTTTCTCTCTCTCTCTCTATCGCTATCTCGCTCTTATACCTTGCTTTTTTAGGCGCATAAACAACAAACAGCCGCAGCTTGTTAAAGGCGGCTCGTTGCACGTTTTCGCATTGTCTGTCCCAGAGGAGGTCGTGACTAGCCCTTGCCGGCGGCGTGCAGCTGGACGGCTCAACAGCTGGACGAGCGGAGAGATAAGCAGACTAGTCCCTGAAGCATACTCTCTATCGCTCTCTCTCTCTTTGGCAGGCAGACTATCCAGCTCTCTCTCTGCTCGCTTGACTTGTTAAATTCTGGCGCATTGTCAAGCAGTTCCAGATGATTATAAGTTGTATTGGCATTAGTTGTGTTTAGCTGCTTGGCAGACGACAGGTGGGTGCAATCCGAGGGGGGCGCGAATGTAGAGCAAGAGAGTGCTGAAAAGAAAGCACGAGCGAGCGATAGAGGGAGGGTGGGGTAACGCTCGTGTTGACAGGCACTTTCAATTTTATTTGAGCGCATTTTTGTGGCCAATATTGAGCGTTGCTCATACGCACCGCTGCACCGCCTGAAATTTTCACACATTAATCGCACTTATATTTAATGGGGTAATTTGTTTTTATTTTGTGGTTTCTTTTTACATTCCTACGATCTAGACGAACGTATAATTTAAATTTATTTACTAGCTAAGCATCAACAAGAACTTGAACTTAACCGAAATTGTTGTTAAATTATGTTGAAATTTTGGGTTCGTATGTGAATTAGATTAATACATGCACAGCACAGCACTGCGAAATTCAGATGCCCTTACACACTTATCAGCTAGTGTACACTACGCAACATAATAACTAAGTTTGTTTTGTTTTTGCTTTGTGTGCCGCATGTCGTATGCTTGATATCCTATATATATCTATGTATGCGTATATACGAAGATACGAATGTTTATGCAGATGGGGGATGTGGAAAGTGTGGCCGGGCTGTGCTCCATCAGACGGGCTGCACCTCGCAGACAAAGTAGGTCTCGAAGCTGCAGGGCGAATCGTTCCACTTCAGGCCTTTGCCATCGCGATTCCACAGCTCGAGGCAGTTCTCCTCCTCGCCGTTCTCGTAGCGGAAATTGTTTGGCTCGCCGGCATTCCAGTTGGTGAACGTGATGGGCCGGCCCGTGGCCATCCAAAAGTAGTTGCCCTCGTCGGCCAGATCTGTGCCAGATATCCAGAAGTGCTCGTGGCCCAAACCTGTGAACGAATTGTGCGTTAAGCGTTTTGTTACGAGTAGTGCCAACAGAGAAAGGGGAAACGGCAAAAGTTTTACAGTGTTATAAATTATGCCCACTTTTCATCCGATTTAGGTGTTTTGAATAGTCACTAATGGGCGTGGCTGCCCAACTGTCCAACTGCCCAGCTCTCCACCCGGCCCATTCACTTTCTCGAGTTTGATGTGGAAAGTGCAACGAAATTGAATGCCTCGCCGCATTTGTAGTCCATTGTCCGAGTCACCAGCTGCCCCCTTGTCCCCTGCTCCCTCTCTACTAAAGCAATTTTCCCTTTGTCAGCTTTGGGTTACCAACTTCCGCGTATTATGCACGCTAGAAAGTCAAAGCCCCACGTTTTGCAATTATTCAAAACCAGTCCAAGTACTTAGCCCAGGTTTCAGCTATTCCATGACTTTTCTTCTTCTTCTACTACTACTACTAGCATTACTTCGTTTACTTACCAAAGTCGCGTATGTGTTTCTCCAGTCTATCGTTCTCTTCCTGTGATGAAATGCTAGCCAAGTGCATGCCATGGTAGCGACAATATTGCGTGGCTTTGAACCAATTCGCCTGCAAGAGAGAGAGAAAGAGAGAGAGAGAGTGAGAGATGAGTTGATAAGTATTTGAATACCCTATAGTTATGAACAATTCAGGTGTGCCCGGGAAATGTATATTTTATTAAAATAAACATGATTTCCTTGCAATAAATATAGTGAACATATTTCTGTTGCCATAAATTCTCAATATATTTTGCTAAAATTAGCATAACTATTCATATATTTTGAGCTCAGCTGGTCTCGTTATATTTATTAACTTCATGCCTTAGCCAACCTGTTTGCTAGCCAACTGGTTCGAGATGAGCAGCGTGAGTTATGCTTCTCATGCAATGCTGAAACACAAAGTAAACCTGATCTAAGATCCAAACATTTTTAATTGTTTGATGCTTGGCATTATTATCTTGAACCTTAATTTCTATTGACTATCAATTAAAATAATTGCCATAAATTAAGCATGCTAGAATGATGCTAGGTGGGTGTTACCCTTACCCTTACCATTGTCTATGAACGGGTAGTGCTTGCCTACCCTACTTCAATTTCTATAGGGTAGCTGAGATAAGCCAAACTTTTTGGCAAGTTCTGGGGAATGTGCCCAAAGAATGCTCAACATTCAGCAAGAAATGCACATCAGGTAAACACGACCCTTAACACCTTTGGCAAGGGGAAGGAGGCAAGCAGGAGTGGGTGCAGAGACGGTGCTGTGATGCTACCGCTTTCTTTCTTTTGCGCATATGGCAAACTAATTGTCTTCTAGGCGTCAGTGGAGCGTACTTTTACAGCCCAATAAACACTTTCAGTAAGCGTGCCACAAGCACAACAACAACAACAACAACAAGGATGACAACTTTCTCGTCACTCCAGGCCAGAGAGAGAAAGAGAGAGAGAGCGACAGGATGCTGCGTCAGTTTGCGCTTTATTCGCGCACAATTACGGCTAATACAATTAAAGCAAAGTTAATGACGACGTCGATGTCGACATGGTTGGTAGACCGCAGAGCCAGCCAGCCAGCTAGACAGAGAGGGCTAAGGGACTCGGGCAAAGTGCTGCACGTGGTAGTTGCGTAATCGATTTAGATGCGCATCACCTGCTGGTGGCAAAGCACACACGCACACACACAGCTACACACCTGGAGAATATGGAGAATATAGAAATATGTGTGCGATTCAACAGGCGGTGGGCGTGGCTAATTAGACGTGTGTAACCAAAAGCCATTAGCGTTAATTGAATATCAAATTGCAGCCATTGCTATATTGATCTATTGATAGAAATATATATATATATATATATATATATATATATATATATATATATATATA